CTACCTAAGTCAGGATCCACCTGACAGCATACAATTATTATAAATTGTTGCAACAATAATACAAATTTTGTTTTTCGGAATGTATTCGCAGTTCCCCTTCGCCCCGAATCTCTTCATCGTTCACGATTCCATTTCAAATGGTCCCAGGAAAACTTACTAGTGGTTACAAACCTAAGTCAGGATCAACCTGACAGCATACAATTATTATAACTTGTTGCAACAATAATACAGATTTGTTTTTTGGAATGTATTCGCAGTTCCCCTTTGCCCCGAATCTCTTCATCATTCACGATTCCATTTCAAACGGTCCCAGGAAAACTTACTAGTGGTTACAAGCAAGGAGATCCGATTCTGACAGTGCAGAACGAGTATTTTACGGTTCCTCAGGTAAGGACCAACTTAAGTTTTGTGAACAAACCCTCTCTTGGCCTCTCTTTTTTGTTTGAATTTAGAATGGGAAGGAGGAGGAACATAAAACAAAGTTTGACATTCTCCTCTTTCGTGTGTGATGCAGCCATTCATAGCCGGGCAATGTGCGAGAAAGGCCCCCGTTGCTTTCCTTCAGAATTTTGAAGCTGAATGTCTTCTTACTCCTTGCACTGAAGCTGGTACCACACTGACAAACGTAGCAGTAAACAGCGGGACTGGAGGTATGTTGATTTTTCACTAAATGGCTGACCTTGAGCCAGTCATTCTGTCAGACCGATCTGCCTTTCAGAGGTGTTGTGAGTAGAAAGTGGAGTGGAGAAAATAAGGGCAAACAGCAAGATAACAAAGAAGTCATTATATAGGCTTTCCCGAACTCAGTTCTGCTTAGCTTTAGTGGGGCTGTTGCGTTCTCTGCTTTCATGCCCTGCTCTGACATCCGGTGGCTCTCTTAGCATTACTGTCATGAGCTACTGAAAATAAGAGGGGATTAAAATTATTGCCTCTCCCACCCTTGATGAGCTGCTTTGTCCAGGGGTCTCACCCAACAGATTCATTATAATTTCTGTTTGTGTGTTTTTTGAACCCAAGTCATGATGATGCAGGATCTTCTTTCCATGGAAAATGTGTATCCACTTGATTTTTGGGGCTCTGCCTCATTTGGCAGCCTTTGAATGGGTGAGAGGAGCCAAGAATTCTGCTTCCCATGGCAGGCATCTGATCTGTTTCGGACCACCTCTGTCTGCAGGAGCCAGTTCTGCACATGGGGTCCTGCTGGAGGCAGACCCATGCTGCCTTGACCCTCCCCTTTCCTTTACTGCTTGGTTTCAGATGGGATACTTATGTTGTATTTCCTTTTCTTGCCAGATGAAGTCAGACTGCAGGTGATTCAGGAGAAGAACGCCACTCGTACAGACAGCTGCGTGGGAAGAGGTGCGTATCAGTTGACTACAACGTTGTGTATTAGAAGACATTTTTGTCGTACTGTAAGAGCATTCTTATAATGGTATGTATGATAGTGGTGGGTTTATAGTTTTTAAGCATGAGGCTCAGCTTGTAACTTTTTTTTTCCTTTTCAGAGGTACTAACACAGAAATTCTCGGTCAACTTTGTGAGTGTAAATGCTACCAGCACAGAAGAAATGTCTGGAAATCCAGGTGAAATGATTCATTGGTTTAGAAGAGACATGTTCTCGTGTGAATGATCAGGAGTCAGTGATGTTCAAATTCCCTTTTGGCTTTGTGGTCTTACCAGCATCAGTAGCCTCTCATTCCGGGGTATCATGCGAGATTTGCTTCTTAATGAGTCAGTTATTTTCTTTGCTGTAGCTGGAGTCCCAAACCCCAGTGTGTGTTTACATGTGATTGTTGCATGCATGTAGTTTTGGCTGGCCTTGGCAACAAAACCAAAAGCTGTGTTTGCTCCATTCCTCCTAGCCAATGCTTGGTGGAGACGAGCATTCCTTCTGGCTAGTCACCAAGGACGTTCCCTTGCCAGTCTTGATTTCCTGCAGAATAACGTAGTCGGGAATGGGTTAAGAAGGGCAGGGATGGAACAGCCACCAAAGAAGATCCGTTTCTCCTGTTGTAGCAAGAGGCTGGTAGATTTTTCTTATGTTGCCAAGACACTGCAGCAGTTGACTTTACAAGTTATCATCCCAAACCACACCAACTAAACCTCATACATATTTCTCTTTATCTACATAGGTTACCAAGTTGGAAGGCCAGTCAGAGCAGCAAATTTCAACTCTTCAGACACTGTTACCACCTTAAATCTTTGGAAGCCAGGTATTAAGTTTTGATAAGGAATATGATATAATAACTGAAATGGCATCATAAATGCAAGAATATCAGACTTAGATGTGGGGATATATATAATTCGTGTTGAGTCACTTTTCAAAATGTCTAAATATAATGTCAGTGAAGTATTAACTTCAGCCATCTGATCTTTGACAGCGGTAATTCAGCAGAATTCCTACATAAAGCTTTAGGTGGCTTTTCTTCAGCTCCTAACTGGTCTAACTGGTCTCTTTTGAACACCTTCAGAAAAAAATACTGTTAAAAATCTGGTGGATAAAGCATTTCATGACACTGAGACACTGGCGAAAATCTTATATAGCTGGTGTAACAAAGATGTCATAGTTTTGGGTGGCAAATTGCTGCAAATTTCAGTTGCTGCACACCGAGTGGTGTGGTTCAGTACGCAATAGACAACGTCAACACAAACTTCCTAATTTTCAGTGTTACCTTACCTTTCACACCATACTGTAGTGTTTCTTTCAAGCACGATATTGCATGACGTTGTTGCAAGCAAGAAAGTGAAAAACAAGGATTTCTCAAGCAGATATCTTCATTACATAGGTGGCCTCGGCTTGTGTACATCAGCGAGTCTCACGCCAGTTTTGTTTGGACTAAATTCAGCCTCTGGATGCATTATGGAAGTTGACCTTGCAGAGAACTGCAGCCGGTTGAGGTGAGGGTGTTTGTTATTAAAGTGTGTACCCTATCCAAAGGGGTCCTAGAGCTTCAAAACTAGCACTTTTAAGGCCTTTACATTGTTGAAATAAAGAACAATGATTCTGGTGTTGAAATACCGCATTCGTTTCTGAGGCTGTAAGAATATTTTTCTTGATGCCATAATTTCACTATGATGAATGTGTAATGCGCTGACTGCCCCAAACTGTAATGCAAAATGTTAAATAACACACACACCACTTGGTTTGCAGGGAAAAGGTTATGGAAAGATTTAACTCTCTGGTGCAAGCCAGCTACGTTGGAAAGAGAGGGAATTCCAATACGAATGTCTCAGATGACTGGGTGGAAATAATCCGTGAGTTGCAACATTCACTTGAATGAAGTTAGGGTTTTCTTTTAATTTTTTAAAAAATGCATTAGCAACGTTTGTTATAACGCAACATTCACTTGAATGAAGTCAATGGTTAGGGTTTTCTTTTAATTTTGTAAAAAATGCATTAGCAACGTTTGTTATAAAATATAATGCACTATGCAGGGAAAACAACACTTTTTTTGGAGATAATTAATAACGTTTGGACTGCTAGAAAACACTGTATGTTTCTGCTTTCCATAGTAAGACATCTCCAGAGCTGAATTTTGATATTTTAAATAACTGGAAATGTGAGGCTACAACAACGTGTTTGTGGTTGAACGTAACTTTCTCCCCCCATCTAAAAACTGGCTCCAGAGGGTTTCACAGGGTTTCTTTGGGGCATGGATGGGTGACTACAGTGGGAATCGAACTGTCTTCCAGTTCCACTGGATTCTGCCATTCTCTGAGTGGACATTCGCCCCCCTCGGTCTCCCCGTTTTATGGAAAGCATGCTCACGAGTAAAATCCCATGCTTGCTTACTCAGCAGAATGAGAATGTTTTAGGTTCGGGATGTTTCAGAGTGGGTAGGTCTCCATCCAAACAAGCCGGGGTTGCGTTTGTTTCCTTTTTAAGCCGGAATCATCCATTTTAAACGTGTAACCTTGAAAGAGAAGGCAACTGATTGCTCAGCAACGGATTTGTGAGTCTCTCAAAACAGTCCTCTTTGTTTTCAGCAGGTTCGGATACACTTAGTGATGATACAAACGCCAGTCTTGGGGATTTCAAGGGGATCTGTCCTGATATTCCTGCCCACCTGAATGTTCAGATGATGACGGCTGATGTGGGTGCCATAGAAGGGGTGGCCCAGCAGGAGATACTTGGCGTGCAGATCAGGTGACTTAAAGTTCAAGTTTTGTTTGGCAGGTCTGCATCTTTGTTTATCCCCCCATGTTCTGTCCCGATTTAATGGTTCCTAAATCTCAGTCCTAGTTTCACCGTATAAGCGGATTCGACAGCATACCTTTCCATCTGTGCCTCTCCTTTGTCTCTGCCTGAAAAATCAGTCCTGTTTGTTTGCAAACTTCTGCATCTGGTGTAAATCCCTGGGTAGTTTTCTGGCCACTCATTCACTCACCTTTTTTTCTGGAGATTAAGGCACTGATCAGTTGTCCACTGGGAACAATTGATCACTCTATGTAAGAACACTAAAAATGGCAACGATAGTATTAACCATTCATAGCTTGCTCACTGACTTCACTGTTGGAATTTGATGTTTCCCGTTCGTAATATTTTTTTTCTCCCCACATTCAGTTTTTCAGCAATAACTTGGCAAGTTCAGTGTCCGCTTGTCTGTGAGGAGAAGACCGGCTTTCTTTCTATCTCTTCTGATGTGCAGTTTATTAAAATACCAGCTCAACCTCCACTTCCATTGACAAGGTAATTCTCTTGGATACAACTGTAACTGTGTTAGACGTCTCAGTGGTAGCTTCAGTTAAACACTGAATTTGATTTATAATGACCATCTTAGAACTCCAGAGCTGGAAGGAACCTGATGGATCATTGAGTCCAGGCTTTATCAAGGAGGCCTAGCGGGGAATCAAACACCCAACGCCTGGCTCCGCAGTCAGAAGCCTTTAAACCCCTGAGCTGTCCAGCTGTTCAGTTTAAATACCCTTAGGGCCATGTGTTCCGTTTTACAAGTATTTTCTACTCTCAGAAGACTGGAATATAAAGGCAAAAGTGGTGGCAGCAAACTCAGCTAGAAGAGGAACCATAGATTAGGGGCCAGAGCAGCGTTTCTTAAATAGGACACCCCAGATTCAAATCTAGGCATCTCCAGTAGAGAGAAGTCAATAAGAATAGCCACTTCTGGCCTAGATGGACAGATGGTGCGTTCTTCTTATATTGCACCTTTCTTGATCCTGGTGTTTGCCGAGGGATCCTTCCTCTTAGATGCACAACTGAGATGTCGTGTTTTTTTTTTCTTTGGACCTGTGTTGCAGATTTCAGATGAACTACACAGAATATGACTGCAGGAGAAATGATGTTTGTTGGCCAGAACTTTTTTATCCGTTGACACACGACTATACTGGTAAAAAGACACTGTTGTTTATTGGGCCATGTGTTTGGATGGGTTGGTGTTACAGCTACAGAAGTAGACCGTGCGGTTTTCCAGATGGTGTTGAACGGTAGCTCCTATAATCCCTCACCATTCATTCACTGCCTCAGGCCAATGGGATTTGTCGTCTGGAGGGGCTGAGATCATCCACTCAGCTAACAGATGAAGGCTAAAGAACTTAAACGTTTTGGCCTAGATAGGGAGGTGTACTCATAAGAGGAGCCACCTCTCCTCGTGTTAATTTAGGCAACAGTTGGGACCTCATGAACAGGTTCTGTTTCTGGGTAGAAGGAGGAGGACCTTAAGTACAGTGGTCCTAGTTTTGAAAGAAAATAGCTTTAAATGCAGGAAGGAGAGTGCCCGTTTCTGGATGTTTTCCTTAAGATCAGCCAGGCGTTTTTAATTTTAGTAGTTATATTATTGATTTGGTATGTAGTTTCTGGCTGGTTCTCATGTCATTATTATTTGTTGGTTTGAGGTCTGTGATCACTTATATTTTAAAATACTGTACGTATATGTTGCTATTGGAAAAAACTAGTAATACTTTAATGTAATCAGCCTACCTATTAACAAAGTGGAAAGGGTGCCATGAATAGGGTACCTGCCTTCTTTCTGCACTGTAGGCAGTGATCTGCGTTTAAGTTTTAAATCACTGTTAGATGACAAGGTACGTAGTGCCCCTGACATCAATGAATCTCTGTTCCAATATGTCTTTTCAGGAGAGCCATATTCCCACTCTCTTGCCAAAGGTCTGGTGCTGGTCTTCCTCATCCTACTGGGAGTGGTGCTGAGCGATCCTTGGAGGATAATCTATGAAGCATGGACTAAATCATGAATGTCCAAGACAGCCATTTTTATAATGCTTTTCTATATTTTAATAGATGGTACTTTTTTTTTAAAAAAAAAGTTTCCTTGGAACCAAACAAGTTTGAATTCTTAATGTGTATTTTTCTCAGGGCAAAAATTAAATGTGTCTTGTATTTACAAAACTACAGCTGGCTTGTGCTTTTGTGAAAAGGAATATTAATATGATGTGAGGTTTTTGTTGGTAAGCTGAATCTGCTTCAGGACTAGCTTTTTGCTCCAGACGCACACCTCAGTCTTTGTAGGGAACTTGGCTACGTTAATTTGAGCCAAAAGTGGCATGTCTCGCCCCTCTCTCCTTTTGACTGTGCGTCTGCCTGGGAGAACGAGTGAAGACTCTCCATGGGTTTTGTGGAGCACGTGTGGGGCAGGGCCGTGTGTTCCCCTCCCTTTCTCCCACAGGGCTGGGCTCCAACCGAAGGGGTGCTGAAGAATTCTAAAGACAAATCTAATTGAAAGAGAGAGAACAAGAGGGAGGTTAGGCACCTCGGATGTTGCCCACCTCAGTTAGCACCAGACACTACAACCGTTCCAGTCTTCCCCCTTAGCGGAGAGGCACTGCAGTTTTTTCTAAAATTATAAATATATATAAATGACACAGATGAATATGAACAGACAATTTTATTTATTGATTGATTGATTTGATTTGTATCTCGCCCATCTGGTCTATGCGACCACTCTGAGCGGCAAAGTACTTTATGCAAAGTACTGTAGCATCTTTATTTTTTCTCCCCCTTTGATATGAAAGTGGCCTTGAAACTCACATTAAAATAAATATGACAGTCTTTAAAGGGCCACCACGTTCTTTTTGGTCTTCTCCCCCTCCCCTTTATTTCTATTTTGGTTTCACCTATAAAGCTTATTTTGAGCCCACAAGGGAGCTGCCAGAAGCAAGGGACAAACTGACCCCAGAACTCCTTAATTACAGAAGCTAAATTAAAGATTTTGCCTTTCCCCCCCCCCACGTGCTCTAATCTTTTAAATT